TGCTTTGCTGAGTTGAACCTCTGCAGAAACAATACCAAATAAGAGAAAGTTTCCACAGTAAAGTTTTTAATCATCATAAAGGTTATGCAGTTCAAGCTGTGCCACAGAAGCATCAACAGCCAGACGCTTCTCTCAAGCCCACTTTTCCTTCTCCAAAATAGTACAGACTACAGTACAATTTTATACTTATCAGTTATACTTTAACTAAAGATTCATTTGCTAGTGTTACAAGAACTCGGTGATTACATTAGCTGGCAAATGATGAAAGAAGTCTATATAAAACCGCACAGCAAAACAAGCTCAGAGTTAAATTACTTAATCCTTTGCAGTTCAAATGCAAATTCATCTTTCTGAATATCTTCCAGTCTTTAATTAACCTATCCATCACACACCAAAAACATCCCTCACCCTCTGAGGCACTACTACAGTGCAATAACAGCATTTCAAATCAACTTAAATTATGCTGTACCACATTCCACTACATGATATAACGCAACAGATGTTACTTGAAGAACATGTAGGACAGCTATTCGCATGTAGGACAATTATTCACAAGTATTCAGGGCAAAATATTAATTTGCATGGTAGAATGAATAGGTATTCCACATAAAATTGCTACACTCAATTTCAAGTTCTGTCATGAGATGCAGAACTTAAGTATGGACCAAGTTTATCAAGGTAACTCTGAAACTTGGATTGGGGACTAGAAACATGTATTCTTATCATCTTACCTCAGCTCAATGATTTTGCCACCATTAGATAGGTCAAAAAAAATTCCACTCAATCCTCTAGTTCTGCAATGACCAAGGAGTGAGAAGTGTCATGAAGTTCCTTCCTCCCAAGCTCCATGGAAACCTTCAGTCTCATGGGCACCACCTTGCAAGTTTCATGTTTTGAAAACTAAAGCAGAAAAGGTGGTTCAGCCAACTTAATTCATGGTTGACTTAGCTAGCAACCATACTGAATTACAGAATGGCTGGCCGTTATCTGAAACGGATACAAAACTTTTCATATATGACCATTTTTAAGATATTTATAATTACCACTAGCTGCTCTCACCTATATTTACAACACACTGCCATTCACATAACAGTAAGTCCACACAAGAAGTGATGTTTTACATAAAGGCAGGAAAGCCGAAAAAAAAATCTGTTGTTTGCTTGCTTTTTAATCAGAAGGACGTTTTCCATAGCTATTGGCCTCTCCAGCCAGGCAAAACTCCTGGTGTCTTTAGCGTGTTTTCAAACACAAAGCAGGCTTTCTGGCATGCAAGTTAACATGGCACAAACTCGGCTCTAGAACACAGCTATATAAAAATAGACTTTTACAAGAGCTAGAGGGAAGGGGGCAATTATTTAATCTGAGGGAGTCTTCGGATCCCTGAGCACTCCACGTTCTTTCCAGTTAGCAGCGTCTTAAGACGGACAAGAAAGCAGAGCCCAGAGAAGGGAACGCGGCTAGCCAACAGGGCACGAGCGCTGCACGAGGG